TTTTTTTTTTTTGCAGTACCGGGGACTGAACTCAGGATCCTGCGCTTGCCAGGCAGGTGCTTTATTCTACTGAGCTATCTCCCCCGCCTGATGTGTGTATATATTTCCTTGGCAAACTCTATAGCTAGTCACACCATAATTTATGTAAACAGTTCTCAATTAATAAGCATTTAGACTATTTCTCCTTTATGACCATTACCAAAACCATGCAACTGAATCAGATAATTTCCTATGTGTCTGAGTACCTACAGATAAAATTCAAAGATTTATGCAAGCGCATGCACATCTATAAATTAGTAATTGCCACCCATACATACAGAGTCAATTTACCACTTTTTTTTTGTGCCAGGAATTAAACTCAGGACCTTGAGCATGCCAGGCAGGTGCTGTGCCATTGCGCCATATACTGTTTGGATTTACAATCCAGTAGTTAATATAACAGTATCTAGTGCCTGGTTTGCCCACACAGCACCCACATGTGAATCAAATATCTTTGCTGATTCAATTAATAAAAATGGTATATTAGTGTATCTTATAATAGGCGAAGTCAAGTATCCATCTTATTTTTGTACCAGGGATCGAACACTGGACCTTGCGCTTGCCAGGCTGGCACTTATGCTGCTGAGCTATATCCTGGGCTCTATTTTTTAAGTCTTTATTAAAATAAAGATTTAAATAAAGATACAACATCTCACTACACAGTTCCCACTTGTAGTGATCTTCCTGCCTCAGCCTCCCCAGCGGTGAGACTACAGGCATGCACCACCATGCCAAGTTCCAAGACTGACTCCCCATGCAGCACCAGAGATCCAACTCGGGACCTTGCGCATGCCAGGCAGGCACTTAGACTGCCGAGCTAGCTTCCCAACCCCAAACATCCATCTTTCAAGTATAATGAACATTTTTATTTTCTCTTTTTGTGGCCTGCACATTTTTTAACAGTCTACTACTCAGAGTCTAAGCCACATTCATTTTAGAGTGTTTTTTTTTTGTTTGTTTGTTTGTTTTTTAAGTTTGTGGTTCTAAGCTTTTGCTTATGTTATTCCATCTTTCACCAACACTATCTGGTCTACTTTTTTTTTTTGGCAGAACCCGGGATTGAACTCAGGCCCTTGCACTTGCCAGGGAAGTGCTTATTCCACTGAGCCATCTCCCCGGCCCTGGTCTACTTTTTAAGACTTACTTCAAATATCATCTTATCTAGGTAGGTAAATGATATATTTTTTAAATGACATAATTTTAAAAATATATAAACAGATACATGGATAAGCATATGTACTTTTATGAAACAGAGGCCCAGAGATTTTCATACTGGCCCTCAAAAACAACCTTGACCTTCCTCTGACCTTCTATTTCTAGAAAAAAGAATTCTTCCCTTGAGTTTATATTAATAAACAATGCTACCAATTCCTTTTCTAATGGATCCTGGCATTTGAGATTCTAAAGGAATGGGGAAAATCGTAATTAAGTGATTTACTCAGCACCTAACAGGCATCATACTGGCAGCGAAAAGCAGAGGGCACAGACTTCTGCGATGCTTTGTTTCAGCAATCTTCGGGTAATATCTTGAATCCCAGACCCATCTGGCTCCGCCTCCTTTCTACACAGCTGCCCAGTAGAGGCCTGATCACATCGCTCCTTTAATAATTTCCACTGTCCTCGGGATAAAATCTATCTCAGAAGGAGGATGTGGCTTTTCAAGAACATGTTATGACGTAAAAGGTCCCGTGGCGTCCCTCTCAGTCCCCGCCCTTGGCGTCTAATTTCCAACTACACACTTTACTTTCAAGACACACTTTTTGTCACAAACATCAAATTTTCCAGCTGTCTCCTCTAGTTTCTCCAACTGCTTCTAATGTGACCCAATTCCTTCAAGACAAGTTTCCCTGGTTGCAAATATAGATTAGCTCCTTTTTAGTGGTTTGAACGTTTGTTAAATTTCTAAATTTCTGATTATAAAAGACGTATTTACAAAATGGAAAAAAGTACATAAATGATAAAATGATAGAAAAACCAACAGCTCCATCGTAGTTTACTGCTAAAATTTGTATCTTCAATTAGATCTGTATCTCTTAAGTTCACAATATAGTGACTTAAATCTTATTTTCATAAAACTATATCCTGATCATTTTTCCATATACACAGAAATGAATTCAAACCTTTATTGGCTGTACATGTCTTCACTGACTACCAACTAGTTGACTCTTCGTAAGGTGTTGCGCTTTTTTTTTTTTTTTTTTTTGTGGCTTGTTTATCTTGATCTTAGTTCTATACCAATATTGTTTTTGTTTTTGTTTTTTCCTGACACTGGGGCTCACCATAAGGTCCAGGCTGGCCTCGAACTCATAGCAATCCTGCAGCCTCCCGGGTGCTGTGACTACAGGTATACATGACCACGCCCAGCTTCCATCCCGATAATTGTAAAGAGACTTTTGGTTTTATTGTTTTGTTTTTGGCGGAAGCGGGGATTGAACTCAGATCCTTGAGTTTGCCAGTCAAGCGCTTATCCTACTGATCCATCTCCCGGCCCCTAAAGAGACTTTTAAAGCATCATTCCTTCTAAAATTCCAGGGCCCGTCCGCATGTCCTATGACACCTCATTGTTACGCAGGTTACACGCAGTTAGTTACCTTCTTCACCCTACCCACACGATCTTGTGTATAAACTACTAATCAAAAGTAGCACAGCTGCCGTAAATCCTTCCCGGAAAACGGGAACTAGACACACGCAAACAAAACCGAGCCAACGCCGCGAATCGCAGCACACCGCTGGGCCCTTCCCGCCCCGCCGGCCGAGAGCACGCAGGTCCCGGCCGGGCGGCCCCCGGGCCCCCAGCGCCGCCCCGCCCC